TCAACTTGATGGTAATATGAGAGAGTTATGCAGATGACACAACCCTGCTTGCTGAAAATGAAGAGGACCTGAAGCACCTGCTGCAGAGGGTCAAGGACTGCAGCCTACAATATGGATTGAGGCTCAATGTCAAGAAGACAAAGATTCTCACCACTGGACCAATTGGCAGCATCAGGATGGATGGTGAAGAGATTGAGATTGTTCACAGCTTTAGTTTGCTTGGCTCCACAGTCAACAGTCTTGGCACCAGTAGCCAGGAAGTTAAAAGGCGCATTGCCATGGGCAAGTCTGCTGTTAGGGACCTCTCCAAAGTACTGAAGAGCAATGGTGTCTCTCTGGAGACTAAGGTGCGTCTGATACAGGCCATGGTTTTTGTAATCACTTGTTATGCATCAGAGAGTTGGACAATGACCAAGGAGGATAGAAGGAGAATTGATGCCTTTGAGCTGTGGTGCTAGAGAAGAGTACTGAGAATACCATGGACTGCTAGGAAAACAAACAGATTCGTCCTGGAAAGGGTTAAACCGGGTGGCTCCTAGGAGGCAAGGATTCTGAGGCTCCGTCTAACATACTTTGGACATGTTGTGAGGACAGACCGGTCCTTAGAGAGGAACATCATGCTTGGGAGGGTGGAGGGACGGTGCAGGAGGGGAAGGCCCTCTATGAGGTGGATTGATTCAGTGACTGGGATAATTGGGATGGGAGTGTCAGAGACAGTGCGATTGGCACAGGACAGAGCAGAATTTAGGGCTGTTGTACACAGGGTCGCTATGAGTCGCAAGCGACTCGATGGCGCATAACAACAACAACAACAACAACAACAACAACAATATGAGAGAGACATACACAGAGGACGAATGAGCTTATAGACAGGGTGTCATGCTAGGTATTCTGAGGAGGAAAAGTAGAAAGACATGGTCCTTATGCTTACTAGTTTACATTCTAATTGAGAAGCCAGGTAACAGCACTCTGTAAAATTCAACATTGATACCTGTGCAGAAAACCAGCAGTTCAGTTCAGCAATACAGACTAGCCTCTTAACCACATAATCCATAGGGGTCAAGCGATTTGGGCCAGAGGAGAATCTTTCTCCAAGGTGCCATTCTCACATTTGTTTCCCTTCACCTGCTACTGATCACTTGGCTGTAATCTTCTCATGGCAGATTATACATTAAACACCACAGACTGTAGGCCAGCCTGTGGTAATCCTGTACTATTTTAGCCATGAATGACGCAGATGCTGAATGCGGATTAAAAGGCTCTGACAACAGAGGCTGTTGGGCTGTGAGGGGTCTGAAAATTGGGCCAACTTATCAATGTCTACAATTTATTGAGGATGTTTCCTTCAGCAGATTTTAAAAAACCCCAAACAACCAAAAACCTTTCTCATCTATCCTGGGAGTTCCAGATTTCATGCTGGAGGGGATGGTTTGTATCTGTTCTGATTTGATGGCACATAACAACAACAACTCAGTTTAGAGATAATTCTATACAAGAACTGGCACAAAAAAAGTGCTTGTCTAGTTGCATGGATAGTGCAGTTAAAAGGCACACCATCAGTTTTAGGACAACTTACTGTGGTCTGATTGCTCAAGGGAAGAAGGGATCTGAAAGAATTTAAGACAATCCTTGGGTCTATTATTTGTAAGTCAAACATTAACTTCCCCTTCCCTTAATATTTTAAATTTTGTCACTCTAGGTTTTTTGGTGTCTCATGACAAAGCTTTGTTTTTGCGGTGGCTTTTTTAAAAAACAAAACAAAACAAAACTATGAGAATAACATTGCTTCTACAGAGGGACAGGGAAGGGATTTTTAATTTCAGAGAAGCCATGTAGAAACCATTTTGAAGATTATACTTTGACTGATTCTTTCATCAATAATGATTCATTGAGTGATTATAATGTATCAGACACTGCTGTTGGTCCTGCGAATACACAGTGAACACAGCAAAGGCCCTTGTCCTCATGAAGCTGATATTCTAGAGCAGAGAGATAATAAGCAGCAAATACAACACATATACAAATATGATTAATATAGTGTGTTAGAGAATGATAAGTACTGTAGAATAAAGAATAGTGTAACAGAGTAAAATGGATAGAGGTGAGTGGTAATTTTAAATAAGATGATCATTGCCATTTTATCGTAAGTAAACTCTGAAGGGGCCAACCAATATAACTCTATCTGGGGGCAGAACATTTTAAGGAGGAGGAAGAACCAATGTAAAAGCCCTAAGAGTGGTGTTTTTCTGGAGGGTTTGAAAACCAATAAGGAAGTTACTGTGGTTGGTGGAAGTGTGGTAGAGAGAAGAGGAGATCAAAGAGGCAACCTGGAAAGTGAAGGATGGACTCTAACTAGATCACACTGAGCCTTGCAGGTTTCTGTGGAGCCACTGAGAACATTAGATCACTAGTCTAACTATAGAGCTGGCTTAGAGTAGGGTTTCCCTGTAGGAAAAAAAAATTCCCTCCTTTCCCCTTTCTTCTACACTTAAATGTTAATGTAGACACAAATCATATGGCAATCTTATTAAAATTCAGGTCTAGGATGGAGCCCGAGACTATGCTGTGCTTCCAGTCCAGAAGCACAGTTCGGTTAGCAAAAGCCTAAAGTTCACTGAGAATCTGGGGAAAGGCCTGGGATCTGCTTTCAAAAAATCATCCACTAGAAACCCTGTGGAGCAGTTCTACTCAGATGCACATGCTATCATGTTGTTGTTGATTGGCTTTGAGTTGAGCACAACTCATAGTGACTCTATGAACAAAAGGCCTGAAGCCACTCTACAACTATCGACATTTATCAAATTTCATAGAGTTTCTGGAGGCATGTTGTTTAGGAAGTGGATGCCACTCCTGCTTTCCAAATGCTGTCATGAGATGAAGTTAATTCTAAAGTAACCAGTTTTGGGGTTTTGTTGTTTTAGGTTATAGCTCACTGAGCTTTCAGGCACTTTTGTTATGACCTCCTCATCAAGCTGGTTGCAAGGGTCTCCTTGTTTTTCTTGAGCCTGGCTGGACAACCTCAAAAGGTTTTTGGTTTTACTTCCATGTTGGTCATGAGTAACCTCCTTGGTTAATGACCTGATCACCTGCCTACTGACAGTATGATCCAGGCCTGTCTCTAAGAACACGAGGCAAGTTGTTTGGCTGCTTACAAGAAGTTTCTAAGATCTCTTTATTGCTACCATGAAAGCTCTGCTTCTGAACTTCTACTTAGGAAACTCTATTCTGCTCTTTGAGCACAATTCCACACACATTTGTGTCTCATCCCAATGATAGGAGCTCTGACTTCTGTCCTTCTCTTTGGTTCTTTTCCTTAATAGTCCAGTTCTGTTAAATAGCAGCTCAAGGACTGGTCTGAGGTATATGTTTTGGCTCTGCTGGTATTTGTTTATTAACACACAAGACTAATCTTCTTAATAATAAAAAAGGAATTGCCACTGTGGAAAGGAAAGGTGATCAGGTCACATGAAATCTCTGAGTAGTACACGTAGTTAGCGTGCTGTTTATCAGAGACCACTGAAAAATGCCTTGGAAAAAACCCCTCCTAATCTACTCCCAAAAATTCAGCTATTGAAGAGTACAGTTGAACTTGAGAGTAACCACTGTGGTTTTTTTAAGGGGTCAAATAGAGCTCTACTGGCTTGTTGGTTGTGTATGGTCGAGTTGGAACAGTCCCATAGTTGACCCTCCAGTGGGTTTTCAGAGGCAGTTATTCACAGGGGAGGAGACTGCTCAGTGGCTTAGTGGTAAGGAATTGGGCAACCAAGGCAAAAGTATGAAGTTCAAATCCATCAGCTGCTCTGTGGTAGAAAGATGGACAATCTCCTACCTTACAATATTCTGCCTCTGAAAACCCACTTGAGGGCTAGCGGTGGGTCAGTTCCAACTTTACAACACACACACACACACACACACACACACACACACACACACTTCCCTAAAGAGGTATCTTGAGAATATTCTAGGCACTTCTGATCCTCAGTTTCCTCATCTGAGATATAGCAATGATGACAAAACTTCCTTCACAAATTGAGATAATGTATACAAAGCTTTTAGCAAATTATGTGGTACATGTGGATAGTAATTATTTACTACTAATATTCTATCAAATATCAATTTGATAAGTGATTAGTGGCGGCACAGTCAGTGGTGTGTACTCCATAGCACGGTGTGCTGCTAATCTTCTTCTAAGAAGACTTCATGTATTCAGTGATTCAAATCAGTCATATAGAGCGAAGAGGCAGTGTCCTCTCCTTGCAATGTACAGCCTCAAAAAACCCTCAATTGGAGGGTTACTATGAGTTTGAACGAACTCCAAGACAGTGACTGAGTAAGTGACATAGTATGTTGCATGCAGAGCTACCAACCTAAAAGTAAGGAGTTATAATGTGCCAGCTGCTGTGGGAGAGAGCTGGGCAGTCTTCCGTAAATATTTACAACTACAAAACCCCCGTGAGATGTTACTGTCTGTTGGAATCGACTAGAAGGTTGTAGGTGATATAGAAAAATTACTTTGTGGGATGGCATTATAACAATGATTAAGCTCTCTGGGATTAAAAATATCAGAGAATATTCCTCAAGAAAAGCTTTCAAGGATGAGAGATGGAGTCAAATGGCAGTTACATCACAGCATGCATGACAAAAGATAGGAGACAACTGAAGATGGTTGATGTTACAGGGACAGATGTGATAGCTGTCTTCAGACTGTCTAATGTTGAAGAAATTGGATTTATTGGATGAGATGAGGGCATAACAGAAGAGAAGTAGACGGGGGAGCAAAGTGCAAATCTGCACAACACTCTTCAACAGCTAGTTAGAGAAAAGGCGGGAAGCACTGGGCGAGGAAGACGTGCAAATGCGCAGTTATGGGGCCACAGCCAATCACAAGGTGCACCCAGGGCTCGCGTGAATTTAAGGACGTGCACTTGTGACGTCAGCAGTTACCATGGAGAGAGAGCCTTCCGGATAGGCAACGTGAGCTGCCACGAGGAGTCGCAGGTTCACGACGTGGCTTCGTGGACACAGCTGCCAAGATGAGCGGCCGAAATAGGGGCAGGAAGACCCCTCACACCAAAACCCGAGGCCGAGGTCGTGCCAGAGCCGGAGCTCGCCCTGCCCACCATGCCGCGGCATGCCCGCTGGCCCCTCCGCAGTGCCCACGGCTTCACCAGGACACCCCAGCAGCACAGGTGCAGGCTGGCGCGGGTGTGGGTGGCCTGGAAACCTCCACGCCCGCGACACCCCTGGGCCCCGGGGAGGAGGGGGCCTGCCGGCTGCCCCTCGATTGTGGCCTCGAGCCCCTGGCGGAGGGTGGCGGGCAGGTGGTCCGCCCGTCGAAGGCCGCAGCGCTCATGGAGCGCCTGGGAAGGGACACTCCCATCGTGAGAACCGTGGGAGGTGTGGCACGGCCGAGATCGGGCCCTCGTGGTGCAAACCGGCGTGGCGTCGTGAGGAAGAAGGGCCCTGGAACAGGTGGCGCCGCCGCCGCAGGGAGGGGCTCCCAGGTGAACGCTGTTGGGAAGGTGAAGAAGGAGCGGGAGCGTGCAGCCGTCTCCGCGGGAGAGGCGAAGAAGGAGGAGCGCAGTGCCGGGCCAGGGCCCGAGGCCATCGCTGCCAGTGAGGACAGCCTGCAGGTCGTCCAGCTCAAGCTTGACTCCATGAATGCTCAGGCCGACCGGTCCTACCTTCGCCTGGCGCGCAAGTTCGGGCGGCTGCGCCTGCAGCACATGGAGCGCAGGAACCGCCTCATCCAGGGCATCCCCGGCTTCTGGGCTCGAGTCCTCCAGAACCACCCCCAGCTCTCGGCCTTTCTGAGCAGCCAAGATAAGGAGCTCCTCACCTACTTGAACAACTTGGAGGTGGAAGAGCTTGGCCTCGCCAGGTTGGGCTACAGGATCAGGTTCTACTTTGGGCTCAACCCTTATTTTCAGAATAGGATGCTTATGAAGGAATACGGCTGTGGCGCCTCGGGTCAAGTCGTGTCCCGTTCTACTCCGATCCAGTGGCTCCCAGGCCATGATCTCCAGGCCCTGACCCAGCGCCACGGCCGTAGCTTCTTAGGGTGGTTTTCCAACCACATCGCCATTCAGTCTGACAAAATTGTTGCGATCATCAATGAGGAACTGTGGCCTAACCCCCTGCAGTACTACCGTATGGATGAAGGGGCCGGTGAAGAGAAAGGAAAGCAGGTCAGGCAAGATCCAGCAAAGCAGCAGGTGGAATCCGGTGAGATAAAACCACCTAAATAATCTTCCCTACCTTCCCTTCGACCTCTGGCTGGAGGCTACCCCACCCTTGGCCATCTGCCTTCTGTTAATGCTGACCTCGTGCATCGTATCCCCTTGGGATTTTCACTGCCTCCAGCTCCATGATCATACAGTCTTTATGATCATGTTCTTTTTCCTCCCTGTGGCCTTCATGCTTTTGTACATTAGTGTCACAGGTGATGTGATCTCACGAATTCTGTTTATATGCTAAGCACATGGTGCTTTCTATGTGTGCTGCTTAGTGCTCTAAATCACCAGGACCCTGTACTTGACTCTGACCTTTTCCACTTGTCTTAACATGAACATTCACAAGTCTGCCTCCAGCATGACCAGTACAACCACAAGTCCTGCTACATCAAGCCTATTGACTTGCTGGCCGTGGTGTGCATGCTGTACATGTTTGGCATCTTCCCTGTTGCTGCCCATAAAATCAGTGCACACTGATCATCAGCCACAGCAGAGCTCCAAGACTCTGGGACACCTGTTATGCTGCCGCATACCGAATTTCAGGCTTTGACCAGAAAGCCCTACTACCTGCCCTCCTGGAAATAGCAGGATGGGACCTTGGCACTTGGGCATGGATGAAGTTAAGAGTGAGGAACAATATGCCATGTGTTCTGCACCTTTATGCCTCTTGTGATTCTCTGGCCCTTTGTACTGGTGGACTTCCATTGAGGTCTGGGCCATGCTGTATCAGTATCAAGCCACTGAAATTTGTTTAGTTTACAGTAATCCCCTGTGGACTTCTTGTCAGGAAGGACTTAAAAGAACTACTTTTGGATCCAGGCCCCCTGCCAATGCAGGAGACACACCTACCTACTCGATCTTTACAGAAATCTTACTGGCTTCCAGACAGGTGGGCTGGTATGTATGTACGTGTGCTCACTATCCTAGTGTGTGTCTACAGGTAAGGATGGAGACTGGGTCTGCATAGTGCCTATTTATCTGCCAACTCCTCTCCCTCCCCAGACATAGTCCAATATAGTGGGGGTTCTAGGGGAGCAGTATTTCTCATCTGTAGGTATGGTTCTGCTTCATCACATATATTCATACCTCCTTGTCAAGCTTTTCTCTTTCTGCATATCTCTGGTCTTACTTCCTCTTCTTTACACTCACTCACTTATGTTCTCTCACTCACTCTCAATCTCTCTCTCATTCTTACTCCCATTATCTCTCTCGCCAATTGGCATAGGCCAGACCCTGCTCCTGACTCATGGGCTTTACGCCACAGTTCTAAAGTTGGAAATGCTTTTCATGCCTATGCATTGGTTAGAATTAAGAATCCCAAATGGGAGGATTGGGCAGCAGTGTTGTGACTTACATTCACTCTCGTTCCAGCATTTTCTTGTATGTGTGCTGCCCTAGCCCAGGAACTTCCCTCTACTTACTCTTCTGTGGTAGCCTCTCCTCAGCCCCTGCCTGTTTCACCCTCCACACTCTGCTTGAATTATCACAAGAAGCAGGATTTAAATCTCTTCTGGTGCCTAAAGAGAGGAATTGGCAGAATCTCTTATGAAAACTGTAATAGGCCTTTCCCACCCTCCTCCATGCTAAAGGTGTTGAAGGAGGGGGGGGGTTGTATCTAAAGCTACCTATCCTTTAACTTTTTTTTAAATTTTATTTTACTATTTTTGTGTGACTGTACTGTCAAATCAGATCTGGCTGGTACAGGAGGAGATTGTCCCTCCTTCCCCGGCAGAGTATCTGGTGGATTCAAACTGTGTGCCTCTGGGATTGTAGTTGCAGCTCCTTGCCACTAGGCCACCAGAGCTCCCCTAACTTTTCTTAAAATAGACTTCATTCTAAGTTCGAGGGTGGGGGAGGTCTTGACTCAGTAGTTACAAAGAGGGTGTAGTTGACAGGAATCAGCAAAAATAAGCATGGTGGAGGAGTGGGGGACTCAGGAAGTAACAGAAAGCTTGAGAGCCCTCTGAGAGGGCAAGGGTATATCCATCAGTGATGGGGGAATGGGAAGGGACCCTCTCAAAGGGGATGGTGGAAATTAAAAGGTGCCTAAAATAGATGGTTAAAACACTGAGTTGCTAACCAAATGGCTGACAGTTCAGGCCCGTCAGCTGCTCTGTGGGAGGAAGATGGAGCAGTGTGCTTCCATAAGGAATACTAGCCTTGGAAAGTCCGCAGGAAAGTTCTACTCTGTCCTGTAGAGTTACCTTTGGAGCTTAATCAGTGACAATGGGTTAAAATAAATAGGGCCTGTAGATACATATGTGCCCAAAGTTTTGTCCAGTATTTCTCTATTGTTAGTAGACTTGTTAAATCACAGAAACAGTAATTTCTTTTGCCTGTTTTCTCTTGTTTTAGGTGTGGCCTAGTGTGTGTGGAAGATGAATGCTGTATGGTGCTTACTTCACCTCCAAATAGAAATCTTAACTACTTCGCCCATTTTTTCTTAATGAGAAACATGTCTGCTTTTTTCAAAAATTTAACAATTTTGGGTTTTAAAAATTATGGACATTTTCAGACATTGTCAAAAGTGTGCCCTTCAGCTAGCTCATCACTTATCAGTTGTTATCAGTCTTGTTTCTTCTCTGTTACCTTCTCCTCAGTGGATTGATTTTCACCAGTCCAAGACAGTGTGTCTATTCAGTTGTGAAGATGGGAGATTGGGACTCTCTTCTTGGTGATGATAATTTAGGGTGGATTATTATCATCACATCAGGCCTACTGATTTGCTTTTAATGTTAGTGGAACGAAGTTTTGAAGACAGGCTGTAGAAGGCAAAGTCTTGAGCATGAACAGTCTCAGAAAGAGATAGAGATGATTTCTGCCATTTGCATCCACAAAGGAAGAGAGAAAGAAACTGCTCTGCTCTGAGACTCTGTAAAGACTGGTATGAGAAGATGCTCTGTTGAGACCCCTCACCAGAATACCCACATCCCCCCACCTGCAGTGTGATTTGGAGATTCATGTAACTGTTGGATTGTTTATCACCTTGTCCTAGTCTCTGTTTCTGTTAGTACAACTATCTGGGCAGTGTTATTTGAAAATTGTTGCTGCATTCTGTGCAAATAACCTCCCAGAAGTTATCAGTAACTGGTTGTCTTACTCAGTAATTTGACACCCTGGTAATAATGTGATTATTTCTGTATTCTTAAACAGCATTAAAACTTGGAAGTTTATATGACAGCCTGTGTGTTATATTTTTTATTTTTGAGAAATAGCAGGAAGGTGGGTTGGGTACAAGCTGGCTGGTTAAGGAGATATATGCATTGGTCTAAATAAGTGATTCCCAATCTTTATATCCTAACTTGACCAGCTACATCAAGATCTCCTTATTAGCTGACTACGCGCTAAGTCCCCTGGTCCTTCCCAAAGGTTGAAATTTTGTGGTTCTTGGAAGAGAACCAATTGTCTTGTTTCTTAATAAGTTTTCCAGGTGATTCCATTAAGGACTGATGCTTCTTAAAATTTAGAGTGAATCGGAATTGTGTAGGAAATCCTACTATAATAGAGGACGCTGATTCAGTAGTATAAGATAGAACTGGAGATTTGGCGTTTCTAAGGGATTTTCAAGTGACCATGTGTTGGTGCTTTGCAAACCATGCTTTGACTTTCAAGATTGTGTCAAATCATTGCTGTCATTTCTTATATTTTAGCTAGTAGTTTTCTATAGAGAAGAACTTTCCCTTACAATATGCAGAGCACATATATTTAGTTCTTCTCCAAGAAGCCACATAATTTATTCTTTCTATTTAATTACTAATTTCAGAATCATATGTTAGCATAATAGTCATCTCCAGTGGTGGCATAAAATGGCATTACTTTACTCTCTGAACTTATTGGGCTTATTTGTTGAATGTTTCCCAATTACAGTTTATCCTCCTTTTGACTGCCCAGCTAATCCACATTTTAGCCTTTTACTGTGCTCTTACTTTTTTTCTTCTTATTTTAATGTTTGAGGAATTTAAAAAATTTTTATTTTATATTGGTTTACTAAGGAAATTTGTATACATCGAGTTTCACACCATTCTTCATTCACATTGTGTTCTATACTGTGATTCCCATGCTTTATGTTTTATAAAATTAACCAGCTTTGGACTATGTCCATCATTACTCTGTCTTTTCAGGTTCCTGATGATGGTTCCTATTCCTTTACCCCCTCCATCCACTCACCAAATTGTGCAACCCTGTGATTTTTGCCCCTACCCATCCTCAGCCCTCTGCTCCTACCCAATCTCCCCTTGGGTCCCCATATATGTTTTACTCGTTAACCTGTTGTTATAATAATGATCTTATGCAGCATTTCTCCTTGTGAGACTTGAGTTAGTTAACTCAGCATAATGCTCTCCAGTCTTCTCCCAGGTTATGTAGTGTTTTTCAAAATCATTGCTCCTGAGTGCTGCAATAGTATTCCATTGTGTGAATATACTACACTTTCTCATTCCATTCGGTTGCAGTTGGACATTTGGGTTGTTTCCATTTTCTTGTGAGAGTGAATAATGATGCGATGAACGTTGTGTACAAATCTTCATTTGTGTCTGAGTTCTAATTTCCTCGGGGCATATTCTAGTAGTGGAATAGCCATTCCTCTACTTGTCATCAGCTTTATCCCACTGCTCCATGTTCTGTGCTTCAGCCAGCATGAACCACTTCTGAATCTGGATACCCTGTATGTTTTCACAAGCTATTCTTTTGGTGAGAAAATCCTTGCAGCCCCTCTTAGGATACTTCCATAAGGCTAATATGTTCAAGGCTGAATTCATCTTCCCTTCATTTCAGGAATGTTGGTGTTTCAGTGGCTAAGCTTTCAGCTCCTAATGGAAAAGTTGGTGATGTGAACCTACTAGCTTTCAAGGGAGAAAAGTGAGGCAGTCTGCTTTTGTAAGGATTTACAGCCTTGGAAATCCTAAGGGGCAGACCTGCTTTGTCCTGTAGGCTTGCTATGAGTTGGAATTAGCCTAAGGACAGTGGGCTTGGTTTGTTTTAGATTCTCTCTTTTCCACAGTATTTTCTCAACACTTCAATTACACTGCTTAACATGGTGGCTTGTCCTTATATGTTTACCAAGTTATTCCCAACATAGAACATAAGATTCTTAAGGTCACACACACACACACAAAAGCAAGCATAAGTCTTAACTCAGGGAACTCTGGTGTCCTAATGGTAAGTTGCACTGCAATCCCAAAGGCACGTGGTTCGAATCCACCAGCTGCTCCCTGGGAAAAGGATCCACCTGTGCGATTTACTGCCTTCTGAAAACCTGCTGGAGGGTCAGCTATGGATCTCTTCTGACCTTGGGATCTGTTGTAAAAATTATAGCCTAGGAAACTACAGGACAATTCTCCTTTGTACTGCGAGGTTGCTATGAGTCAATTCAATGGCACATGACATGTCAGTTTTTCTGTATTCCTATAACAGAGTGAGCAAATCAGTGGTCCCTACAGATTCTGGAAGGCCTGCCTGGGTGATAAACTGCAGAGAAG